AAAAAAAAAAAAAGACTACTGAAATTAGTTCCTAATTGGTATTTATTATCATAAATGGTACTCATAAAATACCATTAATAACTAATAATTTTTGTACACTAATCCACAGGTAGATATTACATGAAATAAATTAATAAGTAATATGTTAGTATCTATTAATTGTATCATTGCATTTTTTGTATTTAATAATGCTTTTACTGGTACATATACTGACTGCTGTTAAATTTAATGAAATTTTCTTGCATATTACTTTAAATAATAGAAACTTTAAGAATTTTTAAAAAATAAAGTACTACAGTCAGTACTTTATCAAAATACCAACAATATAATATGAAAAGACATTAGAAAAAAATAAAGGAAAATTTTTGTATCATACCAAAACATTTGGAAGAAAAACATAGAATACCAGGCAAAAATGAAATGTTTTACTTTTAGTAATACATATCACAGAAATATCAACCATAGATAATAGATTTCTCCAAAAAGTTAAAAACAAAAAAAGCTTAAATAATCCATTAAACTGAAAATAATTTTTGAAAATCTAAGTATATGTTTATGCAATTTGACTATTAAATTACTTTTTGAAATTTATCAATATCAAATAAGAAATTCTAATTTTCCCAACTATATGAATTTTGGAAATGAATATTATTTGAATATTTCAAATGACAAAAGAAATTACTAAAATCAGGTTACTTTGTTCTATTTCAAAATATTCTGTATTGTCTATCTTTCAAACTATTTGAAGATAGAGGAGAAATATATACAAGGATGTTAGATTTTGCTTGTGTATTTCAGGCATACTGGAAGAGCAAAATGCCTATTAAATAATAAAATTACATATTTATAAGTTGAATTAAAAATATATAAGTACCAGTGTTGCAGAACAGAGATTATATGCAAATAAGAAAATATCATGCCATGTGGCAGTTGAATGCCTGGTTCAGTTTTCAGTGATGCAACATCTAACATTATTGGTTCAGTTGAGCAACTTTATGAGCATAATTATGGGAATGTCACAATTTGGTAGGAATTGTAGCAAATTTGATACTATAGTGAACATTTATGCAGATTTCAAACATGGCCAACAAAAAAGTACTACATGTTATGTTTTGCTTATGAAAAAAACCCTAATTAAGACAATAATTGATTTGACTAAGAAAATAACATTTAATAAATTAAGAATTATTGCTCTTTTATGAATAATACATGTGATATATATGTACATATATAGTATATAATCACATAAGCTGTGTTGAATTGAGCAGAATTATTTTTTGTTTTGAAAACTTTCAGAATGCTTACTTTCTATATGGATTTTTTTTTTAAATCTTGCCTTGCTCAGTAGATGACAAAGTTGGAGAAAGAGTAGAGATATTTTCATCAGGTCACTTAAAAAATCTGAATCTGAGCAATAATAATCCATGGAGCAGAGATAAAACTATGGTTAGGAAAAATAAGTTTGTCATAGAAGATTTTTTAATAAATAAGCCTAGGTAATTATTTGTGGCTCTTTCAGAGAATGTTCAAATTTCTTAGTGATGAATGCAACTAAAATCTCTTTGACACAATTTATTTTTTGTTATTTTTGTAAAAAAAACTGTAGAACTATATTGCAGCTTCAAAGAAACATTCAAGGATTTTGCAAGCACATTTAAAACAAACAGTAAATTAACAAGATGATAAAAAATAAAGTGATACATTTTTAAAAAATTTTTTAGTTGTAGATGGACACAATACCTTTATTTATTTATCTTTATGTGGTGCTGATAATAGAACCTAGTGCCTCACACATGCTAGGTGAGTGCTCTACTGCTGAGCCACAACCCCAGCCCCCAAATGATATTATTTCTTAAACTTATTCCCAAAGTTAAGAAAAAAAAAAGGGATTTGACTCATTTTAACCATACAGAACCATTGATTCTGATATAATGGTGGATACAAATAACATTGTTACCTCATACTTATATCTTCCAATTTTTAACTATAGCTTTTGTGTTTGTTTTCAATTTGACAAGGTTTATAACATTCATATCGCTCCCTGTCACTATACAACTTAGTTTCAATTCTGTGTGTAAAATATAGATGCTCTTCAACTTACAGTGAATGGTTTTATATCCTGATAAACCATCATAAATTGAAAATATTATAAGTAAAAAAAAGAAAAGTTTAGCTTAGCCTACCTTAGACATCACTACCAGTGCTGAAAGGTGGATCTTTAGCCCATCATGAGTAGCAGTTGAATTTTCTAAACTACAAATAAATATCTCCGGCCTGATAAAAGATTTTTATGATTTTCCTGGTTTAAGCGGCAGTTTAGAAGACAAAGAGCCTCAGTTTAAGTACTTGAGTCATGCTGATGGATTATAAGATAGTAGGAAAGAAATAAAATGTGTATGTTTTAGAATAATCTAAGAATTTGAATAACTAAAAATGGCTCTAATAAATTAGTAGATATGAAGCTATTGTGATAAAGGAAATAACTCTAACTCAGAATTAGGACAAATAGATAAAACATCAGGGACATTGTTTCCAAATAACATATACAAAGAATTCTGAAGTTAAAAATAGAAGGATAACATTAGTTAGGTAAACTTTATAGGGAAAAGAAGTAGTGTCCTACTTGAGCTAGAAATATGGGAATTTGAAAAGTGAAGAATAAAATTTATTTTAGGTGAATGAACATCTTCAGATGGAAAAGGAACAAGGAAAGATGAAAATGGAATGGCCCAGTGCAAAGTCAGTACCAAACCATTGAGTGATTAAGGATAAAGTGGCACAGCAGGTAGGTCAGATACGTAGATAGAGGAAAGGTCTATACTTCACACTCTGCTTCACATAGGAATTTGTAATTCTGCATTTTGATTGTTAAAAATATATAACAAGTGTAGCCTTCCAGATATAAGGAGGACTATTTGATTGTTGGATCAAAGGAAATTGTTTAATTCATCTAATTCTTAAATGAACATTTTATTCTCAAATTACATCTTTAATGATTATGCCTTATTTTGGAGACAGAAAGATGATAGTTTACCACCTTCCTGATTAGATAACAAGTCACATCTCCCTTCAATGGATACCAAATGGTGAGTAAGCACAATGGCATTTAAATCACATTGCCAGCCTCCACCTTTGTATAAAAGTGTATTATACCCAGGCAAAGTAAAACATGCTCTGAAAATCAGTTTGTATTATTGATGTTGTTAAGAAAATACAATTAAAAACAGAATATCCTCCAAACCCAGAAATACTCTCCTTGAAGGTGGGTAGGAAAAAAAAAACAAAAACAAAACACCAACTCTTTGGTGAATAAGCTTTAAAACAGAATTCAATGCACAGCACAGGCAAACTACTAACAGTCTGCACAGAGGAAGGTCTCTAATCCTCCAGCTAGTCTAGCAGCTACATTGCATCACACCCACCCATTCCTCAGAACAACAATAATCAGTCCTCAAATGAGAGTCTTGATAATAATTCTTACTACACATAGTTATTAAATTGGTTTTGGTTCCAAAAATGTGTTTAGAATAGTTCCACTAAGCTTTTAAGACAGTGAATATATAATGACCTTCTTTGGCTAAGAGGTTTCTGTATAAAATGTATTCTGAAAAATGTGACTCTAAAAATCTAAAGTATGCTTATTATGTGAATATTCAATAATAGTTGCTTGCTTTTATGGCAAATGTCAAAATATTTTATAAAAAATTAATATATGGATAAACATTTTCTCATTGCATTGTTTTTGCATATTTGTTTCAGTTTCCTCTACCTTGAAAGCTGTTGAGATAATTGGATTACAAAGAATGACCCTTTTCTCCCTTCATCAACGTTGCCTTTACTTATTATCTGCAATGGAACACACCAGTGCCCACTTGATAAATAAAAACAAAAGCTCAGTGACCTGTGTGCAATCTCATTTCAATACCTTTTCTAAGAAAGAGAGCTTATTTTGATTAAAAGATTTTGCTTTTCTTCTTTGTAGGAAGTTGCAAAAGTCTAGGTTTACTTAATGAAAATTTATTGTAACTTTCTATATGTCATATATATTTATTGCATATAAATATATATGTCAGAGTTATGATATCATTCAGATAAAGAAAATACAATGGAGCAGTGTTTGTGTTGCTAGAATCTATTTTGCAGTACTCTTTTAAGTTATATGTATTCAGTATATGTGAAAATGTTTTATGTGTTTCTATATAGTTATAAAAGTTATAACTTTTTTTTGGTTTTCTACCAAAAATTGGGAGTTACATTTCTTTTTCATTTTCAGATATGGTCATTTGAGTATTGCATTTGGGCCTATACTATTAATATATTGAATTTTCTTTCTCTCTGTCTTCCTCCCCTTCTCTCTTTTCCTTTTTTTTTTCCTTTTTTCTCTCCTTATGGAAGAATGAGTTCTCTGGCTGGCTATTGATTGGGGAGTTCTAGCATTAGATGCACATGCCATCACTCTAATGCTGTCTAACCTAAACATTCACAAGGGACAAGGAACCTGTCAAAATCTAGTGGCACATATTACCTTTCACATACTGTCACTAAAACCTATAAGGTAGAGGTGTTGTAACCCCTAACTGTTCTCCATGCTTTCACCCTGGCTCTTTTTTCTACCAGCTGTTCTCAAGACAGCAGCCACAGAGATGTTTGTTAAAGGGGAAGTCAGATCATGGCCATCCTCCATTCATATGTCCCCCATTCCTGCCCCATCTCAGTGGGGAAACACCTAGCAAGACTTCCTGTGATCTGCTCCTCCCACTCCCTTTCAAGCCTCTTTCCTGCAGCTTTGTTTCTAGCGCTCACTCCATTCCAGTCACACTGGCCTCCTGCTCTTCCTCAGGTGACATTGTTCCATTCACTCATTTATAGCTTCACTCAAATGCCACCTTTATTGGCAATTCCACTAAAATCACTTCTTTTAAACACAAAGTCGGGAATCCCTATACTCCTTTTTTTTTTTTTGCTTTAATTTTATGTTTAACATCTACCACCAACTTCATACTGTATACAAGGCTTATTTTTCTGAATTGTGGTCTGTCTTCCAATAGAATATAAATCCATGAAGGAAGGGATTCTCATCTACATAGTTTACTATTGTATCCGGAGTGCTAAGGACCATATCTGGCATGTAGTAGGTGTATAATCCTTTACTTATGAAAGGAACTAATATAAATCTATACTTTTTATTTAAAGAAACTCATTTAGAGAGAATAAACATTTGCCCAAGGCTGTAGGCATAGCAACTAAGTGATGAAAAGAGAGGAGATTAACAAAGAGAAAGGTCATTTCATGTATAGAAACAACTTCCCAAGATGACCACAGCTTTCCTTGATTGAATGTCTTTTGGATACTCCCGGCATTCTAACTTCCATGTTATTTAACAACATTTGTTGAGTGCATATTATGTTTCAAGCCCTGTTTCAAATACTGGCTCTTGACAACTAACTCAATGATCTAGAATCCTGTCTGTTTGAAATTTGTCTCCTAGTTGAGAAATACTAAAGTAAATAAATGTATTAGTTGGTGAGAAATGTTGTAAAACATGATGGTATCATACTGAGTGGTGTGAAGAGAGGGGTCCATTATAAATAGAATTTTTTTAATCAGAACGAATTTAATCCTAGGTGTGCATGAGAATAATAAAACAATCTGCAAAGATCTGAGCATAAACCTTTTCAAACCAAGAACATAGCTGGTATAAAGTTTTTCTTTTGGAAAAAAGCTTAGAACACTTGAGAAATAAAGGGCAGGTGGGTTAGGACAAAATATAAAGTGATAGCATTGCATGGCATGATTTTGGAGAGATAAGCAGGACCTAATTCATATATGGCTTCTTAAGCCAAAGTAAAAAAGCATTGATTTATTTTTCTTTTCTTTTTTAAGCAAGCGAATAACATGATCTGACTTACTGAGCACAGGTCATCCTAGTGATTTGCCTGGCATGGTTTTTAAAGGATATGATAAGAAAAGTGTTGCAGAAGTTGGAGATGTGATGATGTCCTGAAGAAGGGTTGAAACAGTAAAAATGGACACAAATGGGTGGATTTAAGTGAAAATTTGAAGTTTGATTCACTAGAAATTGCTAATGAATGAAAGTAAAGGCTAAGGAAAAACTCAAAGTAAGATCTTTGGAGTTTGGAATGAGGTACTTATGAATGGTGTTGCCAAGGTGGATTGGTTGCAGAAGATATTAGGTAGGAAAAAAAAAAAAGTTCTTTTTTATCCGTGTGTGTGTGTAAGAAGTTAAGTAGAGAAGTCAGATTGGCAGGTGAATTTATGACTAAACTGATAATGATGCAACTTAGGGAATAGTAATCCTATAAACAGGCATTAAACCCATTGCAAGGGCCTGCTTAGAAAAAATGTATAGTTAACAGGTTAGGCTAATAGATGGTGATTGAATAGAGGAGAAACCATATGGGACTCCTGGAAAGGAATAACTGATGAGGTAGTAAGAAAATCTGCAGATATGAAGTTGGAGAAGATGAGAAGGAATGATTATCTATGCTATATGTGGTGGAGTGGTGCACTGAGATGTAGATAGAGCAGTGGTCACCATGTGAGCAACATGCAAGTAATTGGTGACAATGAAAAGAGTAGTGACACTGATGTGGTGAGCACAGAAGTCTTATGGATAGAGACTCACTGACTTGGTAATATCACTGGAAAAAAACCCAGCTATTGAAATTGGCATCAATTAATAAATTCCTGTATTTAGAATCTTGTTCATTTCCACTGAATTTTTTTCACCATGATGCTATTCAATATCTTTACTCATAATTCTATCTAATTATGGATACTTTGGTTATAAAAAACTGACATTTTTATGCAAGTCTATATTTGTAAAAAAATACAACTGAAGCTCATTTGATTTTTTAAATCAAAGTTCATTTAGTGATAATGTCCTTATTATAATAAAATTGTAGTAAAATACAGACATTCAATAGTTTAAACAAGTATCATTCATGTAAAAATCATGTTATATCATGTAAAATTTTATTAGAAAATTTATAGTTTTTAAGTACATATATTTTGTTTACAGCTTGAGAACATTGATTATCATAAAGATATACAATTAAGATATACAACAAAATTTAGTTATGTTTGACATTTAGTAATACAAAATTTTACATTGGACCCACTGATACTTGTGTTAATAAATTACACTTGAAATAATTGATTCAGACTACCTACCAGTGAATTGATATTTTATTATATAACCAATTTATTGGTTTTACAATATGTCTAGTAATCATTTATTTTGCCAATAATTTAAATGACAGAAATCGAGTTGAAAACATGATTGACATATCTCATTAAAATAAAAAGAATTAGCAGCCTTGATTTATGTTTTCATGAACAGATACAAGATAAATCTGTGTTTTACAGTTAAAATTTGTACAAAATTCAAGCCCTGAAGTATTTTCCCCAAGAGAAAAGTTCTAATGTTAAAACTTTGTTAAAAGAGGGAGCGGGTGTAATGGAGAGGTAGTCTATAATAAAGTATTTTTAATTAAAATGTTGAATGTTTGCACCATTTATATCATAAATGAATCAAACCTTCTGCAACTGACATTGTCTTGCCATTCAAGAGTCAAGTTTCTAAGACTCCCAGAATATTAATGCTGGAATGCCATTGCCAAGTACTGGTATATAAAGGAAAAAGAGAGAATTCAACATGTACTTTGGGTCACACAAGGCTGGGTATCCAGTGGATGGTTTAAAAGACTGAATTTTAAAAAATAAAATCTCATTCACATTTACTATAAACATTTAACCAATTAGTTGAAAAATTCAAAATTGTGAAGCCGATTGTGTTTGAAAACAAATCAGATTTGGGAGGAGTTTCTTCTCATGGTTTCACTAGTTTATATATTTATATGTACAGGGAAATGTCAAATGGTTATTTTCAAAGATGCTTTGAATTCATAATATCTGGAGGGAATACATATAATTTACTACTTCAATACTAGGCAGATGGCAAATCTCAGTAAATAATTTTGCCCTTCATAAACATAATTTTTTCTTTCTATCAAGACAGTAGTTTAAATTTCCCACTTGCTATGGCTGGTTGGGTTTCTCTGCTTCCTACTGACAGAGACCATGGATAGAGCATCAACAAAATGTGCAGACATGCTCTGAGAGGCAAGTATTTATTATTTAAACTTACCATCTTCTAATATTGAAAGCTAGAAATACTCAGGTTTCAAACTCATCACAGAAGGTGTTAAAGAGAGAAGAGAGAAAAACATCATACATTAATTCAGTCTATTGAACCCTCCTGACATACACAATATGGCCTGCTGTTTCAAATGTAAGTTATTTTTCTGCTTGTCATAGTCCATCTACTTAGGAAGGATTCTTTAAGTACTTCAGTTGAAAAACATCAGTAATATACTTTCTGAAAGCTTCTTTTGAGTTCTTAGGAACTTTATAATGGCATTCAACATGTCTGTAAAAAGGACTTCATACACACACAAAAAACCTCATTTTCAGTCTTTGTCTTTTAAAAATCGCAGTTTGAAGACATTTGGAGCATAGTACAACATAGCACAAAATGTTTTAAGGAAATAAGTTGTGTAGGTGAAAAAATACCCCTCCATCAAGGGGCTGATCACTGCTGTCTGTATAATAGCCAAATAAAATTGCCATTCATATCTCAATTACAAATATGTTATTTTTATGAAAGAGGGCATGTTTATAAGACACTTTGAAATAATTTTAAGAGCAAGTGTATCTTTTAAATACTGAACAATATTTCTCTTTAAAAAATTTTAGTATTTACTGTTTTTCTTAATTTTTTATTCTAATTTGTTATATATGACAGCAGAATACATTACAATTCATATTACACATATAGTGCACAATTTTTCATATCTCTGGTTGTATACAAATTATAT